TTTTTTCTCTTTTTTCCCCCCCCCCCCCCCCAAGCTTTGTGAATTTCAAAGTATTTTGATGTGTTCTTAATGTATTTTTGTGTAATGGGGTACGTGGTTGATGGTTTTGATATGATTCTCTTAATTCTTTAAGTTCATATACAATTCGAGTATTTACAAATTTCGAAACATCTTGGATCACTAAGATTCTTTTGACGTGTTTCGAGATACTTTGGGCCTCATTTCGGTGTCAATATATCCCATTTTTGGAACATTTAGGGAGCATTTATGCTCAATTTTACACATTTTGTAGTGTTTAGGTATACGTTCACCCTAACTTGATTCATTTTGGTGAGTTTCGCCATATTTTGGTGCAATTTGCTTTTATGCTTGTGGATTTTTGCTCATTTAGCAAGTTCAGGAATATTTCACATATTGGTAAAACTAGAGATATTTTGACATGCTTTGATTCATTTTGCATTTTGTGAATTTTTTTGACATGCGTATTTTTCAATTTTGCACATTTTGGTGTATTTGGGATCCCTTAATGCAATATCTTGCTTTTTGCCTTCTTTTTAGCTTTGCAAAATTCAGGTACGACTATTAAAAGTTTTGGAAATAGCTCGGAACTCTAAGATTTGTTTGTCGTATTTTGGAACACTTTGGGACATTCTTCAATGTCAACATTGCATATTTTGGACAATTTTGATGGTATTTATGCTCAATTTCATATATTTCGACGAATTTAGCTGTGTTTTTACCTATCTTGATACATTTTGGTGAGTTTCATCACGTTTTGTTGGAATTCGGTTTCATATTTGTGGACTTGCATGCATTTCCCTCATTTTGCAAGTTTAGGTATATTTGGCATATTTTGGGGCGTTTTGACATGCTTTTGTAAACATTTACCCATTTTGGTAAAACACATGTATTTTGACAATTTAAAAGCTTTTAAGCATGTCCCGATTCCTTTTTGTCAATTTCGCACATTTCAATGTGTTTAGGATCTCCGTAATGCATTTTCGTAAATTTTGACCCCTTTTTGAGTTTTGCAAATTCCAATGTATTTTGATGTGTTATTTGTGTATTTTCGTGTTATGCTACGTGTTTGATTGTTCTAATAGAATTCTTATGATTCATTACGTTTAGGTGCGATTTGAGCATTGACACACTTGGAAATATCTCAGAGCGCTACAATTCGATTCGGGGCATTTTGGAACATTTTGTTAAATTTTTGGACATTTCAATATAACTCGTGCACTTTGATAATCTTTATAGCGTATATGCAGGTATTGATAGATATTTATCCATTTTGTACACTTTGGTAATATCTCGGGAAGCTACAATCTTTAGATTGTTTTGATACAAATCTTGTATTATGTAAGTTCAGATACGATTCCAGTATTCACACATTTGGAAATATCTCAGAGAGCTAAAATTTGATTCACATGCTTCGTAACACTTTGGGCCATCCTTTATCGTCAATATTTCACATTTTTTAACATTTCGGGGCATTTTGTGCTCAATTTTATATATTTCGGAGGGTTGGTGCAATTTCATTTGATGTTTGCGGAGTTTGGTGCATTTCGGTCATTTTGTAAGTTCAGGTATAATTGCGTATTCCGTGACATAGTGAAATGCTTTGAAATTTTTTTTTTTTTCATTTTAGTAAACTAACGCATTTTGATACTTTTTAGAGCATTTCAGAACTTTTTGATAACTATTTTTCAATTCACACATTTCGGTGTCTTTGGGATCCTCTTAACACATAGCACCTTTTTGCCCTTTATTGAGCTTCACGAATTTCAATGCATTTCGACGTGTTTTTTGTGCATTTTCATGTAATATGGTACATGTTTCATTGTTTTGATACAATTCTCGTAATTCATTACATTCTGGTACGATTTGAGCATTCGCACATTTGGAAATATCTTGCAGTGCTATGATTCAATTCGCGTGTTTTAGAACACTTTGGCCCATTTTTTGGTGACATATTGCGTATTTTGGAATATTCTGGCTCAATTTTCTACATTTCAGAGTGTTTGGCCATGTTTAGCCTATATTGACACATTTTGGCGAGTATTCATAACATTTCAGTGCAATTTGGTCTTATATTTGTGGATTTTGGTGCATTTTCCTAATTTTACAAGTTTAGGTATATTTGCGTTGGGACATTATGAAACGTTTTTCGATAAATTTCTTCACATTTTGGTAAACTCATGCATTTTGATACATTTCAAAGCATTTATGCACGTGTCGATGCATATTTGTCAATTTTGCACATTTCGATGTGTTTGGGATTCCCTTAATTCGTTTTCGTACTTTTTGCCCTCTTGAGCTTTGTGAATGTCAATGTATTTTGATATGTTCTTAGTGTATTTTCGTGTAATGTGGTACGTGGTTGATAATTTTGATACGATTCTCATAATTTGTTACGTTCATGTATGATTTGAGTATTCACACTTTTGAAAGTATCTCGGAGCGCTACGATTCGATTTGGATCACTTTAGGCTATCCTTCTTTGTCACTATTGCGTATTTTGGAACATTTTCAAGGAATTTTGGCTCAATTTTATACATTTCGGTAGGTTTAGCTATGATTTGCCTATCTTGATACTTTTTTACGAGTTTCATTTCGGGGGCAATTTGGATTCATATTTGTGGATTTTGGCCATATCGCTCAATTTACAAGTTTAGGTATGTGTGGCATATTATGTTCTATTTGAGATGCTTTGATAAATTTTTGAACATTTTGGTATAACTCGTGCACTTTTATAATCTTTAGTGCCCTTTAGCCTGTCTCGATAACTATTTATTCATTTCAGTGTGTTTGGGATCTCCTTAATGCATTTTCGAAAATTTTTGCCATTCTTTGTGTATTTTCGCGTAATGAGGTACCCGCTCGATTGTTTTGATACAAAATCTTGTATTTCGTAACATTCAGATATGATTCCAGTCTTCAAACATTGAGAAATATATCGGAGAGCTACAATTCGATTCATGTGCTTTGGAACACTTTGGGCCATCCTTCAGTGTCAATATTGAGTATTTTGGAACATTTCGACAGATTTTGGCTCAATTTTATACATTTTGGTGGGTTCGCCATGTTTCGCCTATCTCGACACATTTCGGCAAGTTTCATAACATTTTGGTTCAATTTGGTTTGGTGTTTGTGGATTTTTGTGAATTTACCTCATTTTGCAAGTTTAGGTGTAATTGCATATTCTAGGACATTGTGAAACGGTTTGATAAATTTTTTCTCATTTTGGTAAAACTGGTGCATTTTGATACTTTTCAGAATGTTTAAGTACAATTTTTCAATTTGCACATTCCGGAGTATCTGGGATCCCCTTAACCCATTTTGTGCTTTCTGTCCTTTTTTTGAGTATTGCTAATTTCGGTGTATTTCGATGTGTTCTTTGTGTTTTTTCGTGTTAAATGGTGCATGTTTCATTGTTTTCATACAATTCTCATAATTCTAATGTTCGGTATGATCTGAGGATTTACCTAGTTGGAAATATCTCGGAGCGCTACGATTCGATTCTTGTGTTTGGAACACTTTGGACCATCCTTTGGTGTCAATATTGCGCATTTTGGAATATGTTGGTGGCATTCTGGCTCAACTTCATACATTTTGGAGGGTTTAGCTACGATTAGCCTATCGTCATAC